TCTGGTGATAGCTGCATGTTGAACAGTCAGTTTGCATATTTGCTAATAAATATAGATATTAAATATTTTAAAAACTCCTTAGCCCATGACTGATTTTTGCAGTGGTTTGAATGTGGTGTAAGGGTATGATTTTTATCAGCACCCACTCTTTAGGATGACTTTCTTGGAAGACCATTCCAAAACCAAGCCACCATTCTGGATTTGTTCACACAGTTTTCATGTGTGTGTGTGTGTATGCCTATAGAAATATATAAACCTGCTTCTTCTTCTGGTATTTGTTAATGCATTCATACCACACTCATCCCAAGAGATTTTCATTCTTCCTGTTTTTCCAGGAATTGGAATGGAGAGTAATATTACTGGTAGACTGTTCCAGTCACTTTTCAGCTAATTCCCATGCAGCACAGTTCTTTTTCCTATTGTGTGTATTTAACTTTACCAGCATTTTGCACTAATGGATTGCAGATGCCGCAGAGAGTGTTATTATAAGAAGATTTCATGCTCTGGTAGTAATGTGTCATGCTTTTATAGTCTCTGAGTATGTGATAGTTGTGATATTACTCACACAGTATTTAATGCTTGCATTTTCTTCAATAATTATCTACCTTTTACAAAGGCTATGGTAGATTTCACAGAAACATTGTCCTGGAAGATATTTCTGCCATCGTTTTAGACTCTCTGAGCTACACTTAGACCTAAAGACCGTTGGGGATGTTATTTGTTGAGGTACACTTGAACTTCACCTTCCAGGAACATATGAGTTGACAAAATGAATCCTTGCAATATTCTGTGCTCCTGTAGCCCAAGGAGGGGAGCCTTGGGAAGTGTCAGTGGCCTCAGGCCCTTGTGCAGGAACACAGCAGCTGTTGTGCTTTGCTGCTGCTGTGGGTGCTGGCATTTCCCTTTGGCAGCCCAGTTACTGCCCTGCCCTCTCCACCCAGCTGCCTGTGCCTGGCCCACCCTGCTGGTGTTTGCCTGATGTCTTGGTACAAACAGGCTCTTTGGTTTCTGGGTTATCTGTGTTCACAACACACGTTTTTTAAACATGTACACAGATATCTGTAAACATAAATAAAATAAATTTAGTTCTTAGAAGACACCTGAGAAGGAGTTTATGCAATTACTGTGATGAACTTGTTATGCTTATATTCATGTGACTGAATCCATTGATTAGAGAACTGGTCTTGTATTGACAAGGTGACTGATTCCTAAACTGGTAGAAAGTAAACAAATTACTTGATGTATGTTGTACCAGGCTGAGCAAGGAAGCAGGGATAAGAATAGAGAATAAAACTTGGAGTTTTCTGTAACTCATCCCCTATATTAGACTAGAAAACCAGTTTTAGATCCCAAGTAGAACTAAGGAAGAAAAATTCATTTTATTAAGGAAATTAATACATAGACATCAGTAATTTTAAATTTCTGTGGTTTTTTTGTACCTTGATAGTGCTTCACTATACTTAATGTGGCTTTAATTAATATTTATATAAATATACTATTTATGTAGTTCAGAAAAGAAGTTCAAAGGACCCACACCAGAAAATGTATTACATACAAGAGCCATTTTGGCTCCTTGGAGTTGGAGACTTGGAAAGCAGATGATTTAAGATACACCAAGAGGCTGCATCATCTGATCTGTCCCATATTCAGAGCCCTCTAAATTTCTAGGGATTCACCAGACTGTGGATGCAAAATGCTGGAGAAGACACCTTCAAGAGCTAATCCTTTGTTTGCAGTCCCTGTACTAGAAAGTAATTTTACCTTCTGGTTTTGTCCTGCTTCAGTATGTGCCTGTTAAAGTAAATGCATATTTGTCATGCATGAGCACCACTTGCATTAATGATAATGGAGTTTTCATATGCGTGTTGAGTTACTGCATTTCTAATGCTGCAGGAGTCAGCACTGATGTACTCTGTTTCTTCTCTGTGCATCAGCACTCTGATAATCAGCACATACATATGTCTGTGGGAATTCTCCTTAAGCAATCAGACAAAGCTACTTCTTCGAATGTTTTTATTATTTCAATTATTATGTGATGGGGAGGTTCACTACAATTCAGCAGATGGAAATTCAGTAGATGAACGTACTCTGCAAATTCTGAAATCAAAACACATTGCCAAGGTTAAGGGATTGTTAAAATCTTCAAACTTCAGTTTACTTTTCATTTAAGAAAAAAAAACCTGTGCACAGAATACATGTGATGTAGTGATTTTTGAAAAGCATAAAGAGCTGTATGGATTGCAATGGTGTGCTACTGAATAGTCTCAATTACTACTGTAAGGTATTTTGGGCCTATACATTGCATACTAATTTTCAAATAATTGCTACTTCTGTGTAGAAGTAAAGTGGGTTTCTACTAACCTAATCTAATTTAATGTTAGCATTGTATTTATAAGAAGTATAAGCTGAAGAGAAGACAAAAGTTAAGACTGGGAGCTTTGGTTGGTTGGGGTTTGGGGGTTTTTGTGGGTTTTTTTGGTTGGTTGTTTGTTTGGGTTTGTGGAGGCTTGTTTGGTTTTGTTTCGTTCTTAAATTCCTCGTCATGTTCAATATCATGAGAAGTGTGTAGATGTCTGGTTTGATAGTAGTTTGGTGTATTCTAACTATTAGATGTGTATGTGATGTCCTCTGTGTGCTTTTTTCCTAGTTCCATAGCTGTGCACATTGTGGGTTAATGTGAGCTGCTTGGCATTGCAAGTAGCTGCATCTCAAAGCAGAATAAGGGTTTTTTTGGGTAACCAGTGACTGACACATAGGAGTAATGGGGTGGGAAATTACATGACAGCATTATTGAAGTGACCTCTTTATAATGGCAGTATTAAAGAGTGGTGGAACACAGAGTTCTTGTGTCTATTATCAGTGTAAATTTATCAAGTGGCCTGGCTGTGCTTGACCTTTCACATGGAGAGCCAGTACAGTGAGTGCCACGAAGCTCTCCTTTTCCAAACCAAAACACATGTACCTCTTTCATCTTACAAGGCCTCTGTAAAGGTCAAACACAGTTGTAGTTCAGCTGAACAAAGGAGATCAGCTCCCTTCTTGCACCCTGTGCAATGCCACAAATAAGACAAGAGGGATAGAGGCTTAATTCATGGAAGGGAGGTCACAGTAAATGAAAGTAAAGATATGCTACTCATGGGTAGTGCACTACAGTATCTTGGCTCTGAACATATGACTTCATGACTGAGAAATACTGATTTATATATGAATATTTTATGTATCAATACATGCTCTGGTTTGGAATGCAATTTCTTACTTTTCCTAAAGGGTTTTCTTTAATAACCTCACAATTTCAGCCTGCCCATTTATTTAATTGGGAGCATGTTGCTGTCCAGCAAGCAGATAAACTGGCTAACCTTGTCATTTTACCTTCTGAGTGCAGTTTCACATTACAGGATTATCAGCCCAGAGCCAAGTTATCATACAGTAATAATAAGCTAACATAGCTGTGTGAGCACATTTAATTAACTGCAAGATGGAATTCTCGGCTTTTCCTTCACTTGGCCACCATCCAGAAGTGTGTGACTTCTCTGCTGTAGGAAATGCTGTAGAATACAAACGATGCACATTTGCATGGAGGCATTATCTGGACTGTCTTTGATATCCATACCTGGTCTTGGGTCATTTTTACCGTGCATTTATCTCTCAGCTGTTGCATTTGGACTTCACTTAGAAACTAACACTAAAGTTTTACTAAAAAACCTCATTTGATGGATCTTTTTTAATGGCATAGCTACCAGAGAAAACACCAAAGGTGTATTTTCCACATGTTGTCTTTCTGAATAATGTTTTCAACAGCTGCTGCAGTTTGGATATTGTCAGATGGTGAAATATGCTTGAAACAGGCTCACAGTATGAGTGTCCACAGACTGGACTTTGTGAGAGCTTAACCTGGGCACTGCACAGTGCAGCTGCTGCAATAACCAACAGCTCCTTCTCCCACATTCCCACCAAACTTCACTAGACTGGATTGTTTCCAGCCTAGTTCCCAGTGCAGTGTACATCACTTCTGCAGTGGCTAGATAGAGAGGCATTTCTGTTTATTATGCTCCACTATTTTTACATCCAAAAGATTGTTAGGAAAGCAGGATGGAGTGGGAATGGTGACTACTAAATGTATAAGTTATTGTTATGCAGATTCTTTGCACAAGCTGAGGTGAAAAAATGACACTGGACTCCTGAAATAAATACATTGTGCATTCTTTTCTCTGCATTTTATTTGGATTCTACTTTACTATTTTTGTAATTCAGTGTTCTAATGAAAAGGTTCCTCTCTACTACTTTTTCTCCCACACCAGGGTCGATATCCCTCACCTCATTTCTTGTTTTTTTTTCTCCATTTTTAACTACATGTAAAGCTTATAGCATCTCAACTGTAACTTTCATGTTATTTTAAAATACTTAAGATTAGCTTAGATGTATAAAGGTCTGAATCTTGCTTGCTTTTGGTTTGTAGTATAGGGAGTAATGTATCTGTATGCTAAAACCAAGTTTTACTGAATATATGGGTCCACTCTCAAACAACATCAAATGGGGAGGTTGTTTGGGTGGGTGAAACAGAACACAAAACCCTTTTGCTGATTTATCTGGATACCTGGATGATTTTGTGATTGTTCTGTCATTACTCTCCTTTTCTTAGCTAATTTTCAATTGTGCTAAGAGACCACAGGAAAATTTGCCCTAAACATTTATTCTCCTATCAAATGTTGATAACATTTGGGACTGGGAGAGAAGAAATGTTTTAAAGACTTCTTGTGATCTGACCAGAACTGAGTGAATCTGGCAGCTGGATTAAATTTGTTTAAAAGCAGCTCAGTACTAGTTCTGTTTATTTTTTTATTGAGAATAAAAGGAAAGGATTTTATTTTTAGCGTTTGGTTCCCATCATTCTGGAAATACATATCATGACTGTGTATTAACTTGCTCTCATTAGCTGCCATGTTTTCAATGGCACTGGTGTAGCTGTCGTGCCTGTTTAGTGACTCTGCTCTCTGTTCCAGGTGCTGTTGTCAGGATTGATCGGTGTTGTTTCATGGAAGAGGCCCCTGTCCCTTGTGGTGAGAAACTCCCAGTGCTTTTGTTTTTATAGAGAAGCCTGATAGGCTGTGGGGATGATTTGCAGGGCTGTTGTGTATCCTGATATTTATGAACGCTTAGTACAAAAAGTGAAAGGCATTTGAAGTTTTAACATATAGACTACCTGGATGAAAATAGTATTTTTCTACTGTCTCACAAACAGACTATTGGTCTGCTTGTACCTTTGCATTTAAGTCAATTTGCCTAAAAATGCATTGCAATCTTTTTAGCAGAAATCTTTTTATCTGGATGGAAAAAAGCCTATTCTGAATTAGTAGTTGTTTATCTTCATCTGCAGAAAGAATTCCAGCTACATTTTTTATTTCAGTTGTGAGATTCATGTAGTTACTTAATGATGAACAGTAATCCATTCTTTGTGTGTGCATGCTAATAGAGTTTCAGTTAGCTTATTAATGCAAAGCAGTATTAGATGGAAATCAATCTTATTAAAAACACCCATGTCAATAAGGATGTGGTAGCAGGTAAACATTGCCTTGGAAACAGTGTGCATGTGTAACAGAGTAACATGAAACTTTTGTAACATAGTACTAAAGATAGTCCTTGTTATAAAGACTATAATGGACAGTCTGAAATTTAAAGTCTTGTACTGATAAGAATAAGCCTAATTAGAATTTCAGGGATATCTTTCAGTGTTATGCACTTGGACAGTAGGCATAGAGCTCACATAATTGGAATAGATAATATTCACACATCAGAAATGTTATGCAGGCCTGTGGAGACTTGGCTTCTCTGATTCCTGAGCACTGTCTTGCAATTGTTGTAAATACCTTGGAGCAGTTTTACCCACGTGTGCAGGGTGACTGTTGTGATTGCCAATCAATAATGGATAACTTCACAAGCTCACAGCACAAAGTACCACAGCGTGCTAATGAGCCATGGTTCTCCTGATCTGTTTATACAACACATATGCCAAATACATATGGTCAATAATTACCTTTTAACCTGTTTTATAGTATTATAAGCAGCTAGATCATCAATTGCAATACGTGTCTTTTTTTTATGCAGTGTGTTACAAAATCTGGCACTGCCAAGAGTGGTAGCAGAAAGATAGATAAATAGCTTTATCATTTGAAGCTATGAATAAAGTTATATAAAATTAAACCATGCACCATCTGTGACGTCCTGAAAACGGGTGAAACTGTGATAATATTTTAAGGTGCCAGTTTTCTGTGTATCTTGGCTTTGTGACTAAAACTGGTTTGTAATAACCAGTGTTTTGACTATTGCTGTGCAGCACTTGTGCAGTATCGAGGCTTTCTGGTTTTCCCACACAGCATCACTTGCTTTGGCTTTTCCCTTCCTCTTGCCTTTGCTTATTAAGCTATCTTTATTTCCATCCACAAGTTTTTTTTTTACTTGGGCTGTTCTAATTCTCTTCCAGTCCTGCTGCAAGGGGCAGTGAGTGGGTGTCTGTGTGATGCTTTCCTGCTGGGAGGGTCAGCTCCCACACTGCTGGATGCACTTTGCTCAGCACTGTAATCATAGAGGATTTTTCCACAGATGCAGTGTCTTTTCTTTGCAAATGTATTATTTTCTGCAGGAAAACAGAGGAAGTTGAAGAAGCCATAAACAGAGATAGTTCATCAACCATTAATTTCTGGCTCTACCATACAGAAGTGCATTATGTGGTATTGGTGTAGAAATGAGTGTGTTGTTGCATAGTTTAACACTTCGGAATTAAAGTCAAAACTGAGAGTAGTTGTGTATTTATAAGCTATTAGTATGAATGCTGTTTTGTATTCTGCATTCAGTCAAAGATTTACAAATGTGTATGTACTAAGGACAAATGTGTGTTTACTAAGGACATTTGCAATATGAATGTGCAGAAATTTAGAAATTTTCCTGCTAAAATGTCTTTGCAGATCTGAATTATCTGGAAAATACACCGGATTTTTGTTAGTTTATCTGAATTTTCTTAGTCACCTGCTAGCCATCAGTTGCTTATGTTGCTAAAATGCTTTATACATGCAAGGAATCAGTGTCTGTTATCAAACTTGTATTTACATTCACCAGAGGAAATACTCAGGCAAAGGAGATATTTAAATTGCACATTGATTTTGAACACTAGTTGCTGTATATTTCAGATTTTTCCCCATTAAACTTTCTCTATTTTCATTTGGAAGTCTCAGAGTATTGGTAACACATTTGTAAAATCTCTTTAGAGTTCCTTTTTTGGAAACTAAGTGTCATCTGTGTCACTACCACTGCTTAGTGTTAAAATGCAGTGTTAAAGTAGTAATTTGTTTCCTCATGGTTTATGGAAGTGTCTGAAAATTGGGAGAGAGCTTATGGAGCTCCTGAGGCTGAATAACCTTGTAAAAAGCCTAAATTGTGCAGTCAGATTATTTTTCTGTTACAATCTAATCTATGGTAATTGCAAATCTATTTGTGCTAAGGAGATTAATTCAGCCTCTGAATTGAGTTGGAAGCTTCTCTGTTGCCATCTGGCATTTGGGTGACCCCAGAAAAATATTTTTACATTTCTAACTGAATTTTTTTTAAAATAAACTGATAACTTTAATATTTTTTCAATGAACAGAAATATGGGGTTTCTTAATGTCTGTGAATGTCAGTGAGCACAAGATAATACTACTCATTAATAAATGATCTTGCTTACTCAGAATAGCTATTTAAAAGCATTTCCTATGAAATGTGCATTCCAGATCCAGTTCTGTGCACCAGTGAACACTCCAGTCAGTGTGTGTATAACTCAGTGTGTTGTCCATTCCAATGAACCATTATTTCTTTGTTTTTGATAAGCATATAGGATTTTCTTCATTTAAGAAAAATAAGAGAAGCCACCTTAAATAGCTGCAGTTCAACCTGTATATCAGGCAAAAGGATGAACTGCTGTGCAAAGTCTCAGGCTGCACTCGTGGTAAGACTCAATTAAATACAAAAACTGACTTTTAAAGAAAATATTAATCTTGGGTCAACTTGGTAGTTTGTTGCAAAATGAAAGATTTTCTTTCTAGAATTCCAGTGAAAGACTTGAATTAGTTGAAATTCAGATTTAAACATTTTTCTTTTTCTGTAAAAATCATTAGAAAAATATCTACATTGAAAAAGGAAATTAGTAATAATTTTAAATCAATACATCCACATACACTCTTGCCCCATAAGGTGCATGAATTTGTAAAACTGGTCCAAATGTTTTTCCTCATTGACTAGCTCCTCTCACTAAATATCATTGCAGACTACAGCAGGAATAACCAAACTTCAGGAAACAGATGAAACATAAAATGTATAGAAATAGTGTATTAGTATTTTATATACAGTTTATATAGTAAGTTTCCTATATTCTGCTGGATGAGGTGGAGTGTTGACATATTCCTGGCCATGCTGCTTAACCTGAGCTCCTAGAGCAGCTTAAGGGGTGAGACAAGTATTTTTAAACTCTCGTAAGAGAATTTGCAGTTTCCTTTCAGAAGAAATCTGAGAGAAATCTTTGAATTTAAAACAAAATGTGGTTGTCCTCCCACCACTACCCACCCTCAAGATTTGGTGTTTGCTTCCTGGAATAAAAAGATGATCTATGTAGTGGAGAGACAGTGTGAGCATAAACAGGTTCAGACTGCAGGAGAAAAGCGAGTGGAGGAATGCAGAGCGTGGGAGAAGAGCAGAGTGAGAGGCACTGTCACCTCACTGCTGACTGTGATGCCTGAGTGATGTTGAGAGGAGCTGCAGAACATCCCTGTGCCTGAACAGAGCCCTTGATCACTCTGCAGTATCATTTCAGCCTGAATACTCTTTGAATTCCTTGATCAAAATATTCATTAGGAGCCCTGCTATTAGACAAACACTTCTCTTTGAGGCTGAAGCATTAGTTTAAAGGTGAACAAAACACTGGGTGACAACAAACACATCTTACATGCCATGTGTTTGAGTTTCTGATGAACTGGGCAGGGGTTGAATGCTGGGTATTGCTGCTTTCAGAAAGAAACTTGTGAGGCTGCAAAAACTTCTGTTTGGAAAGCAAATCCAGTGCTGGTTCAAAAAGCAGCTCCTCAGATGCAAAGCTGTAAATTTTGCTCAGAGCTGATGTGAACCCAGGCTTTGGAATTGAGAGCAGAGTGTTTTTCTTTGACCTCTTTTCTGGGAGCATGGAAGGAAACTAATCCAAATTCAGAGGAGCTGAATGCTAAATCAGGGGGAAGAGAATTGTGGAGGACTGGGACAGGAAGGAGAAATTGAAATGTGAGTCTGGCAACACAAGGAAGACAGACATCAAAAGATTTGAGCAGAACAGGACCTAGAATGACCAGAAAGAAGGAAACCAAAACCATGTCAATAAGAAATCATACAGCAGGATCTCAGATGTTTCCGAGATTCAGTGCCACAAGCACCATAAATAACTGAATTGCAATAGATTTGTGTCTTAGTTCTGAATGATTTCAGTGAAGAAAGTGTAGGCTGTAAATAGTATTTTCCTATGCTTGGGACATTGTTAAGTTTTCTTTGCCTCTTGCCTTCTTGCTCTCCCTTCACTGAGGGTTATTTGTATAAAGCACTAACGTGGCTGTACTGCTCTGGTCACCAATCTGCATCATCTGTCTCTGCACACTGTTGCAGCATGGCTAAAAATCTGTGAGACAGGATCGAGAAATGAGCTTAGGATGTAACTGTAGTGATAACTGTATTCCAGGTTACCTCAGTTTGAAAGTAGATTTAAAATTTATTTCTGTTTCATTGAAGCTGCTTCTCTTTTATATTCATTTCAAACGGATGCCCTGAGAGGTCTTTTCCCAATGTACAAAACTGTTGGTTTATGTTGGATCTTGGGAATCTGGAGTTTTGGAGCTTTCTGTGCTTCCAGGCACAGGCCCTGTGGAAAAACACTGCTCTGGACCTGAAACCTTGGAGAAGGCTTGTAAATATAAATAATGTGTTAGAAATCACAAATATATAGGGGGTTAGATGTGTGTGTTTTCACTGGGTGATGGGTTTTACATTTGAGGGT